TTTGGGGCGTGAATATGATACGGGATTGACCTAATAAACCGTAGGTTTTGTGCCTTTACCGTCGTAAGACCTTAGGGATGACTTATGGATGTTTTGGGGGCATTGGAGAAGTGAATCGTGTGGACATTTGGATGGATTTAGGTTCTGGTGTGTAGTAAAATTTGTTGTTATCGCACGGTTCGCCTAGCGAACCATGTTGTTCCCAGACTCGCCTAACGAAGAATCCTTCGCCTAGCGAAGAAACTCGCCCCAGACTCGCCTAGCGAATGTAGCAGAGTTTCGCGAATGTTGATCGTGTGCAACGATATTTTGATGTTTGATTCAGTGATTTCTTTGACGAATTAACATGAGTAGGATTGTGAAGTTTATGTGATTAATAGGCGATAGTATGAGGATTACCGCGAGTATATTTATGAATTAATATGTGATAATATGTGATAATATGATGAATTAATATGAGTATGACTATGAGCGTTATGTGATTTGTACATAATTATATGATGATTTCTATGATGTATGATGATGATTATTATGATGAGATATGATGACATGATGTATGATGATGATTATGATGATGAGCTATGACGTTTGATGATGATGAATATGATGAATGATGATGCACCTATGATGTTATTTTGAGGATGATTTGTGAAGTGTGCATCATGCATTTATGTGCATCCGGACTTCGGTTCAGGACCTCGATTACTTTGGCTTCAATCCCATTGTGTGGATGTGAAGTGTTTTGATGTGCTCTGGTTCTCTGGTAGAATCGATCCTATTGATGGGGATCTATGGAGGGTTGATGGTCCAGTGTCCATCGCGCTGTGATGATTGGTACCACATGCATTGAGTCTTGTTACATTTGCATTTATGAGTCATTTGGAATAATTTATGATGTTTTGGCCTTTGATCCCTATTGATGGATATGAATGTGTTGAATATGAAGATGACCCATATTATATGTTGATTTTTATACATTTATTATTATGAACCGTTTTACTCACCCTGCCTGTTTGAATGTTACCTCCACGTGGGTAACGTGCAGATGACCAGGTTTAGCTGTGGACGCCGTTGAAGACTTTTGAAGTTTTGAGTTGTTAGCCTTTTGGTTAACTTAAAGGGCCTTGCTCTGATAGTGTAACATCGGGTTGGGGTCTATGTTTTAATTGAGTTATTTTGATTATCTTTCCGTATAAGGAAAACCTTGGATCATACCTTTTGAGTTCCACTGCCTTTGAGCAATTTTTGATATATTTTGGGAAAACCCGTTGTACACGGAGCCTTAACCTATTTTGTTGATTTGGGAAATGTACGCCCTTTTAGGTGGCTTTTTGTTGAAATTTAATAATTACTTTGATATCTGTGTTATTTTGCCATAGTATTTGTAGGGTAGAAAAAGGGTGTTACACATCCACACTTTGTGCTAACGGAGCCTACATTTATCAGCTCATTTAGCCTCGTGAAAAATATAATTCAAACCTGCTCGAGATATGTTGTCGACCAACTGAGAATAAAGATTGTTGTATTTAAATCTATGTTCCAAAACTGTGACGCTTCGACCAAATGATATTTGTATCTCATTATGTTGGTTTTGAATCATTTGGTTCACAAAGTCCCAATCTCTACACAAATTGCCCTTACTATTTTCCAACCGATTTTTTCAAAGTAGCATGAGCAAACCCAACTTTTTTAGTTGTTTTATTTTCAAGGTGTCTAACCTTATCATTCCAAGCGTAAACAATTTTCTCCTTCACATGGTCAAAAATTGTGCTTTCAAGATGTTTCAACAAATCAGGATACTTTTCACAAACTTTCCTGAAATGCATAACAAAACTGACATATAGTTCTTTTGTGGAAGAATTTAGAGTATGATTCCATGCATCCATTATTTTTTTTACAACCACACCCGCATTCACCTTTTTTCCATCTTCATACTTTATTTGTTTCGTCCATACCGCGAGTTTAACCTGGCTTCTCACATTATTTGTTATGTGATACCTACAAAGTAATGCATTAGAAGTAGGAAATACCTTTGCAATCAAATTCATCAAGGAGATATCACGGTCGGTAACAATCACTTTAGGCATCTCACTTTAGTCCTTCAGCAGTGTCTGACACAACTCTAAGGCCCAAGTAACGTTTTCCTCTTTTTCACCTTCTAGAAATACAAACCCAACAGAACATGTCTTCTCAATTGAGGTAACACCAACCATCTCTAATAATAGAAGTCTATACTTGTTGGCCTTGTAGGTTGAATCAAGTATGAGCACAGTATGAAATATGTTGAACAACTTAATGGAATCAGGATGGTTCTAAAATAAATCTCTAACAGTAACTTCATCCTCGCACGTTCAGTACCTAAACACATAATTGTTATCATCCAATAGTTTCAAGAGTTGTTGCATTTCAGTTCTATCCCCCTTAAGTGCATTGTTAGTTTGGAACCGAATATTAGAGGTGGCAAAATGGACGGATTAAATTGTTAATGGATGGATCAAAACAATCCATTAATCCATTAACAATCCACTAAACTCTCTTAATAAAACTTCAATCCAATCCATCCATTAAAAAATAAAATTCATCCAATCCATCCATTAACATATTTCTAATGGATGAATATTCATCCATCCAAAAAAATTAATTTAAAAATTCTTAATTATTTTTTAAATTTTATAGAAACATAATTTAAATATTTTGAATTATTTTTTAAATTTCGTAAAAAAACTTAAATTTCACAACATAAAAAAGATTAATATTCTTAATTTAATAAGTGACAACATAATATCCAATGGATTTATAAAATGAGATGAATAGATTGAATCCATCCATATGAGTTAGTGGATGGATTGGATCAAATCCATTAAATTATTTTTTGTCTTATGGATGGATTGGATGGATAAATTATTGGATGAATTGGATGGATATTATCTAAATGGATTTCATTGGCACCTCTACCGAATATTATATACTTGTTTGGTATTTGATATATTTCGGGTCTTTTCTGTTTCAATGTTGCAAGTATATTTTTGGGTTGAACCAAATTCATTGTCACGTCAGCAACGTTAACGCATTCCTTCTCTTCCGGCATGAGCCGACACACAATAGGATGGTCGACTAATTTTTCACATAAATCATGGTTATGCAAACCACATATGACATTAAATCTCCAATTTTTGTTTTCCAACATGTAACCACACACCTAAACGGACACTCACATTTTCCTAAACCGGTGTCGTCTCTTTTAAAATTCTGAAGAGGAGCTCTATATTTTCCACTTCTTTCGCACATCATTGTCACAAAAACACATCTTCCATTCGAAACATTATCGGACCTTTCAATAACCATACTAAATCCATGTTTGGAGACTTTCATTCAAATCCATTGAAGCATTTGATCACAAGAATCAAACTCTTGTTCGTTTTTAAATTGTTTGCCAACATCTACCACCTTCATAACAACATATTTGACATTCGGAGAAACAACTTATTTAGAGGAAAACATCAGGGTGCATCATATCTAATGAAAACAATTACCATATAACCGTATATAAGCACCATTGTTAAAAACAAAACTGGAAAATGAACACAAACTTTTTCTGGAAATGCATTTTCAAAAAAATTCATATTCATTCCGAAGATACATTTTCGGACGCAACACTTGTTTTTTCAGACAAAAAACATGATTAATGTGAGCAATGCAGTGTGAAATAAATGATCTTTACCTAAAATTCTAACTTCTTTTGCTCTCTTTGTTGTAAGATACAACAATGAACGTGTGTCATGCAGTTGTGTCTTTTATCAAATTATTCCGGAGATACATCTTCAGACATATTTGAAATGCAAAGGTGGCAACATATTTCAAAATCCCGCCCAAACTTCTAAAGACGCATCTTTGAAATTTCCACTGAGCTGATTAATTAGGAATATATTTTTTGAAATATTTCGAAGATACATCTTCAGAATTAAAATACCTAACTTATAGAACTTAACTCAGAATGGTCTGTCTTGAGTGAGTATTAGAGTGCATCCGAAAATACATCTCTAAAAACTGAAAACATTTTTGTATTTTTGCGTGGTGCCTAATAAACATATATAATGCATTAAGAAACTCTCAAAACAACGCAATATTCAATAATGGACTTGCGAGTATCCAAATAGCGAGCTTAATCACAACAAACAAAATCAGATAATTGTAGAGAATTGTTAGATATTAAAATTTTTAAAGTGAGAATGGAATACTTCTTACCAAAAAAAAAATGAAAATTAAGTTTAAATAAAAAAAAAGTATTTAAAAAGGTGAGAACTAAAATGATAAATTCTATTTTAAAAATAATGTAATAAGTTTTTGTTAAGAAATATTCCATTCTCACTTAAAAAATCTCCATTTTAATATCTAAAGAAAACTATTCTTTTAAAAGTTTAAGCTATAATAGTGTTATTTTCAAAAATCATATTTCTTAACTTTTTTAATTCTATACATAATAGTAGTAATATCTATAATAAATCTGTATTAATGCAAATGTCACACATTTCGTGCAATAAAATTTAAAGGAAAAATTTCAAATGATTTCTGTTAAAAAATGTGGTATGGTCTAACTCAATTTTACAAAATCAATTTGTAAGGTGAGAATTACTCTCACTTATAAAGACATCTTTAAAAGTTATATATTATCTGATATAAAACTTTTTAGCAGTTTCATAAATGGTTACATTGAAAGAAGGGGATTCAACCGATTGATCTCACTTTCAACAAGCTGTAATGAGATATTTTGAACTCATGAATAATCGCTTCTCAAATATAATAAGTCGCTTAAGAATACTATTGAGGATGCTATGAGACTGATAAAAGAAAGTGTTAATAAATTGCAACAAACCAGCATATGTTGGTACAAGTGACAATGGAGGAATCAGTTCCAACCAATGCCTAATATGAATCATGTGTAGGAATAAAACATTGTGCAGCAACCACTTACACTAAACCCTCATGGTTACAATTAGTTCCTATAGGTTGTAATCAAGACCAGATCCATATTTCCAAGCCTCGAGATGTCGTTTCCACCGGAAACTCGTCTTGGATGGTAGTGTACTTAGAAATGGCCTTGCAATGCAATGAATGGAACATGTGAGAAGAAAAGATATATCATATTATTGCACTTATATGCATTCTTGTAGAATAAATATATTACCTCACAATAGGATCAGCAAAGGTTGCGAGAAATGTGTAGTAACCGAGCATCAGAAAATGTCTGGACCAATCAAGTAGTACCGGAATACCAACCTGAAACAAAGTCAATTTCTGAAGTTTTGGTCACAGGATTCTTATGAGGCATAACTATTCAAGCAATTGTTATACTAATAGTCTTATGTTGTAAGATAGTGAATACATTTCGATTTCGACGTTTATGTGAAATATGTTTACGCTATCTAACTTACGAATCACCTGTTTGAATATGGATGGGAGTATTTGAGGCCTCGTTAACATGACCAGTCCTAGTGTCTTTGAAAGTGGCCCAAACTGTACGACATCCTGCAGAAATGGCCGTAGCACTGGATCACCGAGCCTCTGCGAATGCGAAATATGTGTTGTCGATTTAGATTACAGAAAATAGAGGTTTGTTCAAATTCCACTATGTAACAGTGCTATAGCGCCACTATTTGACAACATCTATAGTTTTGCTACTTAAAAACATTGTGAGAAATACCACAAACAACGGCTGAAATTAGAGTGAGATGAACTACCTGCATACAACTAAAATTGGCATAAAGAAGTTCGTTGATAAAATCTTCAGGAACATCATCAGACTGTTGCTTCGCTGACATTGCTCTTTGGAACAACCATGAAGCACTCAAGTTGGGCTGCATTAAACAAAAATTACGGTATTTGGTTTTATGTAAGGTTGATGAATTAGTCAAACCATTTAAAGAAAGCGGAAAAGTACCATGTATGGGTTCAATAGAGACAAGTTGTATGAGTCAAGATAATCACCACGGATTGCTTCATGTATTCCTTCATTCGCAAAGTGATACCGATAAATTATCACATTCACCGATAGTAAAAACAAGTCAATCATATCCAAAAACAATGCAACAGATATCGCAGAAAGCGTACCAGCTGACAGTCTCCCAAGATGCCTTGTTAAACTCCCAAAACCTCCAAATGATACCGGTGATTGTATGCCACTAGCATCACCAAACTACAGAATATAGCTTCGTTACTTTAATATCGGATATCTTAGACGACTTCTTTTCACATTCCGTCAGAAGTGTAAAAATGTAATTTACCTGCAAAACTCTGCTAAAAGCCGCTGGTAGTGGGCTGTGAGGTGCTCCATATCAATAAACGATGTCATATCATAAAAGAAACGGTAATAGCATTGTATTAATAAGATATGAAATAAAACAAGATGAACACATGGTCTCGTGCATATTAGTACCTCTCGCGATATGTTGGAAATATGCCGTAAATAACTCTCAGTATCTCTAAATTGTCAAGTGAAACACCCTATCATATAAAAATTGCAAATGCACACCATCAAGCCGAAAGCAGCACGACTGAACACAGAGAATAAAAACAACACATCAGGCTAACTCTAGATGTTTGACACGGACTTTAAGAAAAGAAATATTTCAAAAATGTAAGGTACTAACTTTATGGATTAGCTTTCGTAAAAACAACCGAAACTTCATGGAGTATTAGCATAATCAATGCAGTATACACAACTGATAGCATACATTCGACAACAGTTTTATGACTTGAATTGATGACAGCCATTGACGAGGATAAGTGCCGTGTTTGGCTACACAGCTTAATTTATCATGCAAGTGCTTATTTATAAGCTATTTCGGTAACAAAATATAAGAAAACAAAACTAGCCTGATATTCTGGCATAAGATCCCAATATTCTTCCAACAATTCTTCCAATTTTGGGGATCCTGGTTGAGGCTCTACATAAGTGAACATATAAGTAGTACGATCAAGTGGACCCGAGCCTGCTGGAAATGCCTATGAAGATTTCAACGAAAAATCTTTAAAATAAAAAATCGATGATATTATATTTCAGTTGATATAGTAAAACCGTTACCTCCCAAAAATATTGTGCTTTTGAATCTCCAACTTTCTTCACGGTTGAACTGCTGAATATCACATCACTAAGGGAGTTCTTATCAAAGCCACGCGCGCAGGTTCCAACTACTAGACAAACACCGTCAGGCTTCCTCCCACGTCTTATCTGTACAAAAAAACATTGAATATGACAGTGAAATAGCGTTGAGAGAATGAAAGAGTGTTTATGTTTATACTCCTGACCTGTTTTACAATAGGCGAAAAGTTCCCCATGGCATCAATTATAAGACGAGATGACAAGATCTTGTCCCCGGAAAGTTTCAGAACCTGAAAAATAAAATCATACATATATTCATGACAAGATATTGATCAGCTATATGAAGTAAATATTAACATTATCCTCTATCATCAAATAAACTCACTGCAGCATCGTCGTAAACATTTATGCAGGAGACACTTAAACCCTCGAAAACGACTCCACCAAAGGAGATAAAACGTTTCTTTACAATCTCTATAAGCCTGGCAGGTCTGCAATGGCAGAGAAAAAAATTACAATAGGCAAGATCTGCATCTTCTGCACGGTCCTAAGTAAAATACTCGATTTGTTGGGAACGGCAACGCATGTAGTAAACATAAAATGCATGTTTCAGAGAGTTAACCAGATAAAAGCGTGGATAAAATTACTCATTTATAGATTAAACAGAAGACAACAATCATGTGAACACTTTACTGGTATATCAAATTAGTTTATGGGAAGGAGACTGACGAAACACCGAGATTGAGAATGTTGTTGACCCATATATCTCCTTTCCTTTCAAATCCACATCTATTCTGCAAAGTTCATGAAACGATCTTTATAAAGTTAGTTGAAAATGATTTCAAAATACAAAAGGAGGAGGTTAGAAAAGTATAATCAAATTATTAGTTTAGCAATTACAGGATTAAATTTTGCTGCTGTGACTCTTTCGATGTCATCTTCTTCCAAGACTCCAACTTCTACAAGTTCCAAAAGCTCCTTTCTTGATATGTTCCACTCTTGTTCTCTCTAATGATCAAAGCAACAAAAACAAATCAAAGATTAACTCTTTTCTATCTAGGATTTGATGTGTGAATACAGCTAAAATTACCCCTTTCAACACATTCCTTTCGACAACGGCAACTCGAAGACCCCTAGCACACAAGGCCGTGGCAATGAAAATTCCAAGAGTACCTCCACACACTATCACATCATATGAGCCTTCTGCTTTGTCAGCAAGATCAGATGAGGTAAACAAGCTTGGTATTGTATAGACAACTTGCTGAGGTTCTTGCACAACTACAATACATACACATCATCTTATAAGAAGGTTACTAATTTACAAGACATATAAGGTTGCACCGACACTTCAGACTAAAGATGTGTCTGATATCTGACACTACCACATACTGACACATGTGATTACATTCAATTAAATTATTTTCACAAATTGTTATTTATCAGTATCGAAATTATTTTCACAAATTGTTATTTATCAGTATCGACGCGTCAGTATTGGTGTCAATGTGAGTGCTTCATAGAGAATAAGAAATTATTGAATGACATGAACCTTGTTGAGGTGAGCAAATGTTTGACCATAGCTGGTCTAATCTTTTCAAAGCTTGATATGAGTATGCTCCACCAGCACCACCAACTTCTCCACTCACTGAAACACCCTCCATTATCCTCTATACAAAATCAAAACACCATGATCTTTATTTGGGCTTGATACAAAAAACAAAAACAAAACAAAGCGGCATAACATGATAATACACATATTGTCAGCAATTGAAGAATAATACCTGGGTTTTGGAGGAAACAGCTTGTGGTCTGAAAATGAAAAGTTTTCTGGCACATTTCTTGAGTGGGAATGGAGTCCTCACTAAAAGCTGAGATATTCCATTGATGGGTTGAAGCTGAAGTAATGACATAACAAAATAAACTTAAAAATCAAAGAAAAAACAACTCTTGTTTCACTATGACTCTTGTTTTTCTTTTTTCTATGTTTCATTTATCATTATTAAATGTAAAAGTATCCAATTTGCGCACCACAAGTGAACACGTTAAAGCATATGTATAACCACAAAAACATGATTTGTTGTATTATTCAAAAGGGGTAAAAGTGAAACAGTTAAAGAATGAGAATGGTTAAAACACTTCACGAGAAAAACCTGAGTAGAACTACAAATCCGCAGTTGTTTCTATATTATTTCACATCTATCGTATTCATTTTGATTTTTTTTTTTTTTTAATGAATCCAATTTTAAATTTTACACCAAGTTACTTCTATTGAACTAAAAGGTTTGTTTAAATTATTTAAAATTAACTAAACAAAGTGGAACAGAAAGAAATAACAATAGAATGAAACATAAATTCTATTCTATTATTTGAAAATTTTGCTATGGAGCTCAACTAATATCTCATTTCACTTATTTGAAAATTTGATACAGCTGAAAGCATTATAATCTTTTTAATCAAATTTTATCTTTATTTCAAAAACATTAATATGATCAATGAAAATAAAAAATTGGAGGACAAATTTCTAATTGTGTTACTCATTTATTTCATTCCATTTGATATAAAGTCTAATTTGGGTGGATCGAAAAATAGGCTAAAATAGTAGTATTAGAAGGAATGGGTTTCATCACATTCCATTTAATTTTTGTAAAACCAAACAATGAAATATGATATCATTTTATCCTTTTCCATCAATCCAAACAGACCCTAAGTGAATCCCTTGTTTATAGGGTTTCGATTTGCCATTCTCGCTAAGCGAGACTTATAGCTTGCTTAAAGTGCCTACTTTCTTATCCTCTAAGACATGCCAACTCAACTTGCAAGTTGTGTTTGTTGCATATCCTCGCTTAGTGTGCCTCAAAGCTTAATTTGCGAGCAAACTCATTCTTGACCATGAAGTAACTTAGACCTTATGTCAAGAATCTCCATACCTCACTTAAGGCGCCTGATACTATGCTAAGCGAGTTTTATTGCTTAGCCTTGAAGTTACTTGGCTCTGAAATCTAGTTTGGTTGCCATAACTTGCTTAGTGTGGCTATGTTATTGGCTTAGTGATCTATGGTGCTTTTTGACAGGGTTTTAGTGTTTTCTTAGTTCTTTTAACATGTGCTTAAAGAATACACTATTAAGAAGTTCATACCCACGTTTTAATGTGTTTTACTGATAAATTTGGGAGTTTTTTTCATCGAGTGCTTGCAAAATAAGTTAATAAGTAAAAGAAGTGTTGGGAAATACTCTTGTTTTTCTTTTCAGTTCTATCAATTATTCTCATCTCAAAGGTTTGCAATGTGTAAGAACAAGATTAGTTCTGCATCTGACCATAAGTTTTGATGATAACTGCACATGTTATATTATAGAAAAATTTGATACTCTATGGTTTCGGTCTAATATGTAGTTTTTTCTAAACAGGATCTGACTCTGATAGAAAGGCGTATGACGTTATCAAACTCTGATCTGAACACTCTGAAAGAAAATATATGGTGTTCCTTATTAAAGTCAAGTTTCAAGAATGTCTCTAATACAACGGTTCTGAAGAACGTCGTACTAAAGTTTATGATCATGACTTTGTGTGTAAAGCCTTGAAGGGTTTCTAAGAGATGTGCTTTTATCACTCTAAGTTTTGAAGTTTCTGAAGAGGAGGTTCTGCTAAACGAGTTCTGAAGATTATGAAGACATCATTCCTATTGCAATAAAATTCTGAAGACAAGGTTTTGTTGAACAAAGTTCTGAAGACTCTGAAGACAAATATGTGCTGAAAAAGTTCTGAAGTTTCTGAAGACAAGGTTCTTTTGAACAAAGTTCTGAAGTTTCTGAAGACATAATTTCTAAAAGACCAAGTGCTGAAGACTCATAAGACAAGGTTTAGTTGAACGAAGATCTAAGACTTTGGTTTTGAAGATTACAAGTATTAATCTTTCTACCACATACTTCATCAAATATACATCTGAAGCCTCTAAAGAACTAGAAGATAGAATCTCAAGAATGGTTGGACAATATCCTGAATATAAAAGTACAAAGTACACTGTGATCTCTACCTCGATAAGGTGGCGCAAGGATAACTTTTTATACTATGATGTAGACCATTCATTCTAGTGATCATTGGGAACTTACTGTTGGAATATGTTTCCATCTATACCCTCCAACGGGTCTATTCTCAAACTCTATATATTAAAGATCTGAATGCTTGAAGAACAAAAGAGATGAAAAAGAGAGTAGATGATCAACAGAGAAAAAGAAGAAAAATAGAAAGAGCTAAAGAAAACACGAGAGTATGTGTGTGAAGCGGAATCAAAGCACCAAGATGTAAGATCTAAAAGAAAATGTTTGTTGCTCAAACAAAAGATAGAGCGCTGCTCTACAAGAAAAAGAGGGAAGCATTAAAAGAAGCTTTTAAGCAACAAAACTCATGCTGATACGATGCAAATATCTTGGAGATTATTCTTAAGATAGTTTTGTATATTAGCAAGGAACTTCTGTTCATATCTTACTAGAAACACTTTTGTGCTATTGTACTTAAACTTGTGTAATCTGCTTGTTTAGAAGCATCTATTTGTACACATATATGTAACACTTTTCTAAGTGATTATACCTCAAGTGACTAAGTCGTTAGTGGATGGATTGGAGTAACTTTGTTAACAGTGAACCAAGATAAAAATAATTGTGTCTATTTATTTTTGTTCTCTTGTTAGCATTGAAGTTTAAAGTTCAAGAAAATTTAACATTTGGTGAAACCCAATTCAAATCCCCCTTTCTTGTGTTTCTCGCCCTTTCAATTGGTATCAGAGCTTCGGTTCTGGTATTGGTGTTTATTAAACACTTAACTGTGTCAGATAAAGATCCAGACGAGCTTTGAGAAACACCTTTATGGTTTCTACTCCACCACCTGTTGTGCCAGCCTCAAATGATCTTAGTTCTATCTTCCACTATTTTTGGTGAAAAGATTAAGTACTGGAAAGCTGAACTAGAAATTTCTTCCTAGACGGTGATATTGATTTTTGGAATATGGTAGTTGATAATACATATATCCCTTAGGTGACGTTGGTAAAAGGATGAAAGTAAATCTGAATGATCAGTTGGAAAAGGATTACAAGAATCATCAGAAAGTAAGATTCCTTGTTTACTGAAAGTCAATTCTTACTGAGTATGAGATGTTTTCAAATAAAAGACTGCTAAGTTTACATTTGACTTTCTCAGAATGACTCATTAAGAACTCTTTTGAGTCAAGGAAACAAATGCTTGTGTTTTGATTCAGAAGCGTAGAGGCTTCAAGATGAAGGATGTAGAAGACAATTGAAATCTTGTTATCAAGTTTTCAAACCATAGCTGCAGGACTTAGAGTTCTAAACATAGGTTCTTTCTTTATCAGATCTCTTAAAGAAGACTATAAGAAGCTTGCCATTCTAATGGAGGCTTATAGTAACAGCATCCCAGTTACAGAAGATCTATAACAATGCTCTCTAGAAAAACTGGTGAGTTCGTTTTGATTAGTCATGAAGATTAAGATAAAACATTATAACTCATATGAAAGGAAATCTGTTATGCTTAAATCTATCATAAGATCAGAAGAAGACCAGAAGTTCATCAACTAAAGAGATCAAGGATTCCGAAAAAGATGAAGATAGAGTGTCACTTTTTTCCAGAATGACTAATCGTGTCGAGAAGAAGAATCATTGCAACAGACTCAAAGGAACTAATTATTCGGATAGTTGTTCGAGTTTACCTTAAGCCAAGTAAAAAGCTTTGATTAGCAAGAAGAAAAGGTTGAAGGTAACACAGGATGATTATGAGTTCTTAGAAAATGGAGAATATGAAGAATAAGCTAACGTAGCACTGTTGGCTAACGTTAGAATCTATGATAAAGAAGATTCCTCCAGAAGATGAAGTAGTCTCTGTACACTGACATATTTGAACCAGTGAAGTACCACGGTATGAAGTATTGGATCAGTTACTGTTAGTATCTATAGAATAGACATGGGTGAAGGATCTTGACACAAGGATGAATCTCTATGTATTCTCTACCTTCTGTACTCAAAGTGAATATATGGAAGTCTGGGATTATTCAAGATCAGAAATAATCTTGGTCAAAGTTTGAGAATACACAGCTTAAGAAGCTATTTTATGAGAATGAGATCTTCATATCCTAAGTTATTTACAAAGAGATACAGATGTAAAAGGAAGAACATGATCTTGAAAAGAAATGGCTAGAATCATAATATATGGGACTATCATGACAAAGCATTTCTAAGGAGTTGTAGCATGTTATTCAGAACATAATTCTTTTTCAGATCTATTCTGATGCGTCATGATTAGAATGCTTAAAAGGCTACAAATTATTTAGAGTTGAAGTACTTCTGCAGATAAATCAAATTGACGTCAGATTTTATGATAAGCTTGGAAGTTAAAAGCCAAAGCTTATTGGAAGATTGCAAATATGGATATTTTTAAGATAGTGGAGCTGCCAAAGAAGTGCAAGATGAAGAAATCAGAAGATGCTCAATCAGAAACAACTAGAAGTTGTCACAGTTCTTACCCCTCTGAGAAAGCTTAGACAATAATCGTTCCTTTCTAAAGTACTGATTATGGGTGATAAGACTAAGCCAGTAAGAACAAGATCAACATTTAAACTTTTTGAAGAATCGTTTCATGGTCTGATGTTCATGATGATATTTACATCTGTTGAAGAAAAGCGTTTGGTCAAAGATTAAACTCTGGTGACGTAAGAAAAATTTAACCAGTTCTCTCAGTATATGGCATTTGGTATTCTACATGCGGATTTGAGAATTAGTTGATTGAATCAAGTGACTTTCTGGAAACAAGTCACAATGAAGACAAAAATGGTTGATCAAAAGCATAAGATTTAGGAGATAACTCAGTACCCTCTGATGATCGATATACAACAAACATCAGGAGAGAT